GCACACAAAGCTCTGCGCGGCTGTCCAATTTTTCACCTTCTCTCTTGGTTGCAAGCACACACCAACCAAAAAAAAGTACCATGACTTTTATAAGCTACGGCCAAGTTAAAAAAACAAAGAAACCAAACCCAAAAGGGTTTTTAATATTTACGGTCAAACCAAGCAAATTCAAATTGGATTTGATTTCCACTATGCTTGGGCCCATTTGAGGTGAATAATAACCGGCCCAACAAGATCAAGTATAGTCCAATGCCCTCATCTTTTCCCAAATAGCCGTTTTATGGAACAAAATGAACTTCCGAAAAAATTGGCGAGGTGGTGATACGACTTACGAGTAAAAAATGTCGTACCATTTAAGTTAATTCATTTTCGTTAATCACGAAAAAAAAGCACATAAGTTTCATCGACTCTTCTTTTCATCTTTCAATATTATTTTATTCAAAATTTAAATCACGATCTCATGATTATTAGACAGGTGAACTCTCACCTTAACAATTCTATTCAATCTTCATGCCACGTTTCATCAAATTTATATATTCCGTATGTTCCAAAATAATTACATACTTTAAGTTTACACTTAGCTATTCAGCTGAGCTCCTGGAACATGTAATGAATTGGTTGGGGCTGAAAGTTGAGAACAAGAGGTTCAAATGCATATATGACAGAGTGGTTAATGGATGCAATACAAAAGATTGTTGAAGAACTTGGCATGTTCTGCGGTTATGGCCTGTGTATATCACATATGGATCGAGAGGAATATGCGAAGATTTAGATCAGAATGTACTACTGCTGATGTGAGATTTGAAGGTATCAAACAAGAGCTTAAATGGAGGGTATTTCATACGTATAGGAAGCTGAGAATTGTGGATGTTGAGTACTTAAACAGAAGGTTTTAATGTATAGACAAGAATGATGTAAATAGTATAGGAAGAGAACAAATGATGTAATGTTAGGTGCAGTTTTGCTTATCAGTAATATATTTTCACCTTTCTACGAAAAAAAAAAATTTATATTTAGTATAAATTGTACAAAAAATAAAAATAAAAATCGAACAATTATTCTAAAACAGAGATCATCATTCTCGAAAACAACATCCATATTTCATGAAGTAGTACGTTAAATAAATAAATAAAAAACTCCTCTCTTACTAAAGTGATTATCTAATTTAAATTCTATTTTTAATTGATTATAATATTAAAATAAAAATTCAAACAAACCAATCATTTTGCAACAAACGAAGTGACTAATTGCATCAGTTTTAGTCCTAAGTCTTGGCTAAACAGACAACAATTTCAAAATCAAACGTGTCCTAGCTTAAATATAAACAATAAGTGATGGTCAAAATATTGAACATTATCAAACCGCCCAAGGGTAATGGTCGGAAACTTAAAAACGACACTAAATACTAATTAAACGAAAAGTTTCTTTGGAGAAAAAACTTACTACTATAATTTATTTAGTCATTACTTATTTTTTAATAATCTTTATAAATCCAAACAACACTTGTGAGCGGCTCAGTTGAAGTGTAAAAACTCGTTACGACTATATGCCGAAAGCCCGAAAGTAACAAGCGAAGAAAAGATGTGGAGAACTTTTTCTTTGTACGCGTGGAAATTGGATAACGCTTTTTGCCCCCTTTTTCTAATTTTTTTTTCATGGTCTTTTTTAAATTTATCATTAATTAATTAATTTGTACTTTTTAAATTCATGATTATATAAGTAGGGTTTCAATTAGGGGGGCGGGGAGCAGGTGTAAGTATCTGGAATGTTCGTAAGAGAAAAATGCATTGCATAGGTGTTCTCTTAATTTAATTAATTAAAAATTAATCAAGATTAATGGAGTTATTTTTTAGGTGGATTTACACGTGTTGACCACTAAACTTGCGTCCCTTGTAAGTAATGACATGATTAAGACATTTAGCACTGCATGTTTGAAGTGTTTGTAAAGTTTAATGAATGTCCTTTTTTCCCCCTCAAGTATATTATATATTTATTATGTCATTTTCTTTCGTTTGATCTTAGGTGTTTTTCAGAAGCTCGCTAAATTTTGTTGTCAAATTCGCAAAAATTACAAGGGCTATATGATTGAAGATGATTAACGGAAACTAATAAAGATATTGTGAATTAGTACTTGAAAATCTTGAAATTAATTTCACAATTATACGCTAAATATTTTCTTATCAACTACGAATAACCACAGTTCTGGAGTGAGTTCTCCCGCGTTATATATATATTTTTGTTTTTGTGTTAATGCAGAGGACGCAAGCTCAAAACATAGTTTAATCGAACGGTTATGTCTTTGTAGCTGTAATGATTATTAATACTTTGGTATTGCATATCCTTTTGGACAATGCAGAAAACCCATGAGTTTTTTAGACACGTTAATTTGCAAAGTTTCTAATGTACTAGTAATGTGTGATGGGAAATTGATAACCATGTAGTTACAATTTTGGACTTTTGACATTGTAGTGAAAAAGGCTCTTAATTTCTTGAGTTGATTATGAGGCTTTATTGACCATTCCACAAATAAAAGGTGAATTAAATACTGAGATTGACAAAACGAATGTTCAATTAATTAGTCAAATTTTAATCCTCGGCAATAATAATAATAGTCAAATTTTTGCATTAAGATTTTAGTCAGAAGACGTATGTTCGTGGCGAGAAATTTGATCTTACATAGAATTGGATAAACTCATTGAGAAAAAGTACTTTTAAGTTTGATTCCTCCTTAGAATAAAAAAAGAGGTCAGGATACAAAATGTTTTAGCTACTTGCTCAAATGAGATGATATTCCTTCCACACCACCACCAACACCCCCCCTTCACTTGATAATTTCATCCTGAAGCGGAGCTAGGAAGGAGACCAAGATGAGCAGAAACCCTCTCCCTTGAATTTCATAAAATGATCAAATTTATTGCTATTATTATTTATGTAAACTTGCAAATTTTGCAATTTATTTGCCTGCAAACTTTTTTCCCTTTTCGCCCCGCTTTCTTGATTTCATTATCTAAAAAAAAAAACATAAATATCAAAATAAGATATACTATAATCCTCCCTCCGATCCTTATTATAAATCATTTTGACTTTTTCTAAGTTTAACCTAATATATATTTTTCGTTGACAAAAAAACTTTAAAAATAATTAACAACAATCAAGAGAACATGAATATAAATTTAATATTTTTTTGTCAATAAAAAATTTATATTAAGTTAAACCTAAGATAAATAAAAAATCTTTATATTAAGAGTCGGAGGGAGTATAAGACGAAACTAATTCTCGGACAATAAAACAAACAACTAATGTTGGCTTAGGGGAATTTATTATAAATAGTGGATATCCCACAATTAATCACATGTTGTGAATGCAATAAGTGTATGCATGAATATTAGGGAAACCAAAAAAAAATATTTAAAAAATGGTGAAATGAGACTTATTTATCGTGAGTATGAATTTGCTCTAAATTATTATAGTTTTTTTTCTTTTGTTTTTTAATGAGCAGAAGTTGTATTATGGGGACTCTCGATGAGGATTTGACCTATCCAATGGTATCAATTCTTGGTACACCACCGTATTGTTTGTGTTTTTTTAGATAAAAATTACTCCAAATGAGAAGATTTTAACAAATATCTTGATCATACATCCATCTATCATATGTCGGCCTCTGGTTGGCTGAATCTTTATCTAATAATAAACTTAAAGTGCCTTTCATAACCTAAAAGTTACCCTTAAAAGTCCAACTTTATCCTCACACCACACTGAGCAGCAGTTAGTCTCCTAGTTCACTGCCACCTCACTCATGCTTCAGGATTTGATATTAATAATTTAATTATTCCCCGTTATATTTTGAATAATTAAATATGACTATTAAAAAAAAGACAAAAGGCACACAGGAAAACTATTTTATAATTTCTTGCCTCCAAAGATACTTGTAACAAATAATCTTTCATAATTATATTATCAATAATAATCATTATAAAATACATGCTGCCCTTTTGTGGTTTGTTTGATCACATGAGTTCGTAGGATAAAGATTAAAGAAGCATTTTCAGCCCTTCACCACAGCAGACAGAGTCTATTTGTTAAGAACTCTTTTTTTCAAAAAGAATATATGTGCTCCCTTTAAGAGAGTCATAGAGCATTCCAACTGAAAACCTCCAATGAGCTGTAATATCAATAAAACATGCAATAAATAAATAAATAAATAAAATAACACAAAGGCAGTTTTGTTGAGTCTTTATTATTTTTTAGAAAGAAAAAAGAAAAAAAAAAGAAATGGACCTTTTATGCCTTACTTTGAAACACATGATCACATGATCACTCAAATACTAATAAATACTCTCTTCTGTCCTAATTATAAAACATGCCGATTTGTCTTAAAGTTTCTTTATATGTTCTATTAATTAAAAATAAAACCTTAAAAATGATGTATTTTCACATTTTGTCTTCTCTCATAATTAATATTTTTAAGATTTCAGTTAGATGAAAATACTAACTGAAATTTATAGGATAAATCAAAATAACTTGCAATAAAGATAGGAAAGAGTATCCTTTATGTGAAAATTTTATTAACTGATATTTCTTCTTATAAACTTCTTTACATATTTAGAGATTGTTCCATTATGGCATCTAAAGTATTCATACATCTTGAAATTGAAGATCCAACGCTAATGTAATGAGCTATAACAAGATGGCAAACTTTTACTAACTAATTCAATCAGTTTTAAATTGAATTATAGTCATAAAAACACTTCATCTCTGTCAATCTTAACATATAGAGTATTAGTAACTAATTTGTATTCTCTCTGTCCCAAAATTATTGTCCATTTTGAGATTCCACTTTATATACAATTTGAACTAGAAATAAAAACCCAAACTGGACAATAATTATGGGACAGAGGGAGTACTTAATATTAACATAGTAAAAAACTCCACAGTTGTAAAGATATTATTTTTCACTTTCGTAAAAGTCGTTGACTTACATGAATTATTTTCATTTATTTAAGAGAAAGTGGATGATTGATTCATGATCCATTAAATTTAGTGAATTAGTAGTAATTATTTAATATTTTCTTTTTTTCCAAAAAGTGGGAAAAGAAAAAAAAGGAAGAAAAAGAAAAAAACAAAGATGGGTTTAATTGCAAAGTAAAAGATATGAATTGGGGGCCATAACAAAACTTGTGGCTGAGAACCTTAATCAACCGCTGACGTGGCACCCCCACTTCTTTCTCCTCTTCTTTTAATTAAATCCGCAGATCAAAATCAAACTCCTCAAATGTGCCAACAAAGCCTCATTATTCAACACTTTTACTAAACCCCCAAAAATAAACAACAAATCTCTTCCCTCCGGCCACCTGAAAACACACCTTCCGACAGCCGCCGGCGAGGTAACGATCATCTTTTGCTGTCTGGCCAAATTCTTGTACTACGCTTTTCAAAGAAGAAATGATGCAATTGAAGGACCCGGAAATCAAGCTGTTTGGGAAAAAGATTGCCTTTCCGGAAAACGGCAGGATTCAGGTGGTTGCCTTCTCCGGGGAAGACTATTCCGATGACTCTGGTGGAGCTGGAGCTTTTTACTGTGGAGAAAACGTCAGTGGGTCTGAATCTGATCATTCGAAAGTTAGCAGAGTTGAAGAAAGTGAAGCTGAAGATGACAAAGAGATTCAAAACCAGGAACTTGCTGATAAGGTGCGACAATTTCTTTAATACAGAGTTTTGAAGATGTTTGCGTGTTTATGTGCGTTTTCTGGAAATTTTGAAAAGTTCTGAAGATTTTAAAACGACCCAGATGGAAGATTTCATGGGTTGGTTTCAAATTTTGATGATTCCCCTGTGATCCCTGTTTTTTTCTTGGCAATCATTTTCAGTATTTTGTACATTACTTCTGTATTTAGCTCTCCAGTTTTCAGAAATTACTTTAATGATCAAGTTCTTGGTATTTCTTTCTTTTTGACAAAGGTAAAGTTAAATTGTTTCTTATAGAGGACCAGTTCTTTGGTATTCCTGGTTGAATTCTGTTTTTGGCAAACCAACTACCGTAAGTAGTCAAATATGTAGATTAAATGAATGCTATAGCTGAAGTATTGTTTATTAATGGTTAGTGATGCTCTTTATCTTCTTCTTTCCTTTTGTGGATTCTGCAGGAAATTTTCCAGAACGTTCTCTTATCTTTCTTTTTTTAACTGTTCTCTGTCCTGTACTGATGATTCGGTTTTTGGGCATCAGAAACAGTATTGATTCTGCTTATGCTTTTTTTGTCTTTTCAAAAAACTGTTTACCCAAAGTAAGTTTGATTCTGGAATTCCTCCCACTTTTGTTCTTGAACTACCATTTCTACCTTTGCATATAAGCTTTGATCAAGCGGAGGATATTCTCTGCTTGAGTTATTTCTGGACCACAATAATTGTGTCAAGTAAAGTAGCCATGAATTCACCTTATAAAATGAGCAAAATTTTCCCTGCCTTCCTATATAATTCTTATCACAATATTGTACATGTCTTTTTTGTAGAACTCATGAAATGATTTGTTCAAATTTCAGGATTGTTCAACTAGGGAAGTATCCAAAATTAGGCCACAAGTAGAGGACCAACATCCTGTTCCTGCAGAATTTCCGAATTCGAAAGCCTCATCAGATTCGGATGAGAGCTCTAACACTACCACCATGGATGAAGATTCTCCTAGAAAAGAAGGATCTCTAAAGGCTGAAAATGATCAGAGTGATTCATCTAACCCACAGCAGAAAACTCTGAAGAAGCCGGATAAGATTCTCCCATGCCCTCGGTGTGATAGCATGGACACCAAGTTCTGTTACTATAACAACTATAACATTAATCAACCTCGTCATTTCTGCAAGAGCTGCCAGAGGTACTGGACTGCCGGCGGAACAATGAGGAATGTGCCGGTTGGAGCCGGTAGGCGCAAGAACAAGAATTCGGCCTCACACTGTCGCCACATTACCATCTCCGAAGCCCTTCAAGCCGCAAGAATCGATGCCCCGAATGGATTCCATCATTTGAATTTTAAACACAATGGCACTGTCCTTTCTTTCGGTTCTGGTTCCCCGATTTGTGATTCCATGAATTCGCTTCAGCATCTGTCAGAGAAGAAGGCACCGATCGCATCTCAGAATGGATTTCATAGACATGATCCTATTCCTATCAGTTCAGTTTCTTGCAAAAGGGCTGAAAATGGTGATGACTGTTCCAGTGGTTCTTCAGTCACAACCTCAAAGTCAGCGGTTGAAGGAGCTAGAACTGGATTGCAGGAACCAGTTATGCAACAAATTAATGGGTATGCATCTCCAGTTCCATGCATTCCTGGAGTCCCTTGGCCATTTCCTTGGAACTCTGCAGTTCCTTTGCCAGGAATTTACCCCTCTGGATATCCTATGCCATTTTACCCTGCTCCGTTTTGGAACTGTGGTGTGCCTGCTGGTGCTTGGAGTATTCCATGGGTGCCTCCATTATCTCCTGCCGCAATCCAGAAAAATTCCGGCTCCGGGTCGAATTCCCCAACCTTGGGAAAACACTCTAGGGATGGTGAGTTGCTTAAACCAGACAATCCTCAGGACAAAGAATCTCCACTAGAGAAAAATTCAGAAAGTTCTGTTTTGGTTCCCAAGATCTTGAGGGTTGATGATCCTGATGAGGCCGCGAAGAGCTCAATATGGACGACATTAGGAATTAACTACGACTCCAATAGAAGGGAAGGGCTGTTTAAGGCACTGCAACCTAAGGGCAAGGGTGATGAGAAAAAACACCTAGGTGCTACATCACCAGTTTTGCAGGCTAACCCTGCTGCCTTATCTAGGTCTATCAACTTCCAAGAGAGTGCCTGAATTGTGCTCTTTCCGTATATGATCCAACAATGCATGAAACTACTCCTTCAGCTCCCCAGGGATGGCGTTTTATAACTCGCTTCCATCTCGGATGAGTTTTTTTGAATCGTCCATCCCCTGATCCGTCAAGTGAACACGCCGATGCTAACGCTTTTTGAGTATCGCTTTGGCATCATGAGGGAACTGCCTTGGAGAGGACTAACATCTGCATCTTGTAACATTAAAACCTGTTGCTGCTTTGTTAGCTTTACTGTGTGTTTTTGCTGTAAATACTTTCATCAGCACATACTGACAGATTTTGGCTTTTTGACAGTGAGAGGATATGGGAGCTATATCAGCTATGTAGATGTGATTACATATGAAGCTTGTATGAATGTAACTAACTTCTGTATGTAGTGTAACTAACTGCCTAGTTAGTGTGGAAATTAGCCTTTTTTTCCACTATTCTCCTTAATGCTATAAATAAACAGAACTTTTTGATGGACAAGTGTGTTACGGTCCTCATGGCTAGGTATAAAGTGATATTTGTTCATGGTTCTCTTGAGTTAAGCTTTAAGTACAACTATAACACTCCTCCTATCTACAAAATTAATCATAACTACAACATTTTCTTTTGGTACAAGAACTATCAGAAGTTCTGAGTGGACAATAAATTATACTTAAACTAATCTTTATTCGATGCGGGATAGAATTAAAGATGATCTTAATAGTCTCTTATAACCGCGAGGTATCGAAATGCAACTGTTCGACTCTATTAGGACATTAGTATTTTGCTGTCCGACGTCTAAAAGGATGAGATATGAATGTGCAAAAGATAAGAACAGTTTTGGACATATGTGGAGTTTCCTTCTTGTTTTCATTGCATCAGAAGATATCCTATTGGCCCCTTTACCAAACAATCAGTTCTATAATTTATGGAAAAAGGTATAGATTTTTTTAATGACCAGAAAAAGGAAAAAAAAAACAAAACGAGAAAGGAACAAGTTGCTTTCCTTTTCAAAGGCAAAGATGGCCGCCCCAAATAGATTAGTGGAAAAGAAAAATGCAAATTCTTTGGGTTCAAAAAGAAAAGAAAAATCAATTTTCAAAGGGTGAAAAAGGGTGAGTGGAAAAAATGCATGAAGACTTTTGATCTTCAAAAGTAAACCCACTCATGGCAACTTTCTTTTTCCCCAAAAATTATGCAATATATGTGCGTACTCAATGAATTTTACACATGTTAGCTCCAATAACCACAAAAAAAAGGGAGGAAAGAAAATACTTTCATCAACGTTTTTCCCAAAAAATAAAAAGTGTGAAAATAAAAGTTTATAAAGAAAATCAATGTATCTCGAGCTTGGTTGTAGGCTATCGTAATTAAAACTATAAGTACTCAATCTAAGAAAATATCGACTGTGCAATTAGACACAATAGATAGTGAAAATAATAATTTTAAGGGAAAAGTGATAACTTTTTGGGACGTTTTAGCAACAAAATAGAAAAGTGATAATACTTGTTATACTAAAAACAACGATAGATATGTTGTATCTAATATTTTTTCTAAATCGATCTTAATTTGAAATCGGCTCAATTCTTTCCTAATAGGTTAGATTCGATTTGAGTAATTGAATTTTAATGTAGTTGCTTGCGTTTAGTTTCGAAATCAGGATGAATTTTGATTGGACAGTTCGCGAGCGAGTTTGGTTTGTTTACATCCTCAACATACCTACATGTTTTACTGCCTAATGCTTCTTAATTAAAACACTTATTAAGTTGGTTTCTTGGAAATTAGAAATGTTTAGTAAAGTGTCTCTATTGAGTAGGTCCATTTTGGCCAATAAAGAAAAAAATAAATGCCCTTCTTTCCACTTGATATTTGATGTGGATATTTGGGGGGGCCAATGGCCTTTTCCATTGGTGGCAACTCATCAAAATCTTGATAATATATGTGCTGCTGGTGGACTAGCAATACAAGACACACAGATATTTTGATGTCTCCAAAGATTGCAAACCACATCTTTTGTATAATATATGGGACCTCAAAATTGTGTACCATTCACATGAAAATCCAGCGAACCCTTTTGGCATTTACATTTTGCCAGCTTTTTGGTTCGTTTCTTTCTTTTTTGTGTTCCCTTTGTGCTTTCCCTTTTAAGAAGCATACTAGGGCATAATTATCTCGTATTTTTTTGCCTACACAAGTAGCTAACTCTTGTTGTTTTAATAATCAGGAGTCTTATGTCGTATAAGTAACATGGAATATTTATATGTATGATAATGAAAAAATAACATATTTCTGGGACGAAACGAGCCTCTAACACTAAGAAATCTTTATAAATAAATTTTATGTAACCCCCTTTAATAAGTTTTTCTATTAGATCACAATACCATGCAACCTCAAACTTTCCGGCCTTTCTATTAGATCACAATACCATGCAACCTCAAACTTTCCGGCCTTGGTTTATACATTTTCAATGAAGTTAAAAAGTTATTGTTTTACAGGTAAAGTGAAAAATGAATGTGATTATGCTATTTTACCTAATAATTAAACCTTTAAAAAATAAACAATCATATGGAGATGCCATGATAAAGTACCTTTCCAATTTTCTTCAAACTTAGTGGGATCTATCTCTTCAGTTGAAGTCACTAAAAGCATTGATGTCAATTGTGATGGTCTATTATTGGTTTTACTGTTTCCTTAAAAGTAAAAAAAAAAAAAAAACCATATTCAATTCAAAGCACTTATCAATACAATACTCTCTATAAGTCAACCACCTCCACATCCAACACATTTTATAGTTTCTACTCTCTTCGTATAATTAGTGGCTTCTTTTGTTTTAGTGCTTTGAAGGTCATTCCTCTTCTAATAAAGAGATGTTTTCCGTTCTACATTTTGGTTGCAGTCAGCCTTGTGTTCTGTTATTGCATTCCATGTCCTACCAATTTGACATTGACAACAAGAACCATGCAACTTCAAAAGTTGAAACCCTTTAATGACATAATTTTATAAGCCTTCTCCCTACTAAAATTATTGTTCTTTTTTGTTATACTTGCAACAAATGTGACTGTTACCTTGGGATAAAGAGAGTGTCTGCATAAAATTTTTTCGCTATCACCATCAAAATAAAAGGTTTGAGTGGCAGATATGGAAGAGTTTGTACTTTGTAGTTTTCAACTCAATTCTTCTGTTTTTTTCTTCCTATAAAAATAAATAAGTAAAGAAAACCGACCCACTGGTAGAAATTTGCAAGCCATCATCTAAGTAGTTCATAAAAATATAGAGAATAAAAATTTAACAAGTTTAATTAAAATGTTCTGAATTTTTATACAAAAAAAAAATTATCCCAAAAAAATTGTTCTGAATTTAGTTTGGGCTATAACTCTTGAATTGGAATAATAAAATATTACTTTCATGATAGTTTAATTTGAATTTTCACTAGTATTATAATTTGAACTATAAATAAAAATTTAAATTAGAATATTAGACAATAATATAGCGAGGTGCGGGAATGAGTATGAACAATAAAATTACCCACTCTCCTCACTAGCGTTCGAAGTTGTATCATCACACAAGTAAAGTAAAGTTTAACACATACTATCCTTTTCGTGGTACCTAATTGGACTAGACAAAATCAATGTTTAGCTTAACAAACCAATCAATTTATCGAAATAGGTATGTAACACATTACAGAGAAAAATAGAGAAAGATGAACCCTAATTGTGCTTGTTCAAAAACGAAAAGTAAAAAAGAAAGGCTAAAATAATAGGCTGAATGTTTCTCTGTATTCACTTCTTCGTTGAATTAAATTTCACAGTACAAGGCTTCCACATTTATAAATAGTACACTGAGAGTCTAAGTAATCATGATAAGGAAACTAGCTGAGACTTAGGAATCATCACTAATCTATTAGTTACAGCAACAATAAGTCAACATCAGCAGAACCCTAAAGCTAGGGCTGGTCATTTTGAACCGCCGATGACCCGAATCGAAACCGAACCGAAATTTCGGTTCGGATCAAAGATTTTAAAAATTAGAACGGTTCAGATCGGTTCGGGTCAAAAGAATATCCAAATTGAACCGAAAAAATCTAAACTAAAAAATTAATTAATTATATTTTAATAATGACGTCGTTGACCGCCGCTACCACCTTTGACCACCGCCGCCGGTCGCCGTCGTCGACAACTTCCGGCGACTTTGCCGGAAATTTATATTTTTCCGGCGGCCAGTGACCGTCTTCGGCGTGATGACATCATCATTAGCAAAAATGGTTCATTTCGGGTCAATTCGGTTTAGACCTGTAACCCGAACCGAACCGAACGGAACCGAAACCATTTGTGATCCAAAAACAATTGACCCGTTTCCGAACCGAACCAAAATAACGGTTCGGTTCGGGTTGGTTTTCTCCAAAAGAACAGCCCTACCTACAGCCGTGATGAATAAAACAATGATGATGATCACGGCTGTTTTATTTTTGATAACAATGATCAGGTTTCTGTTTTACGACGTTGTTGACTTGCTGATAACGATTTAATCCAACTCAGTAAACTAGTGAAACAGAGGCGCACAAGAGTGAATTACTACTTGACCACTTGATCACAATCATGCATACTCCCTTGTTTTGTGCTGATGAGTATATACAACCTTATCACTCCGATCAGCCTTATTACTTCCTATACTCATAGAATTACCTTCGGGGAGGCTCAGTAATTCATGACCTTTAACAATTACTAGTATCCCACTCGGCTGTTCCACAGAATTACTAGTATCTGAGTTTTGAGATTTATACTAGTTTTAGTATAAATTTGAAATTTCAATGTGGACTATTTTTTTTTGGGACGGAAGTAATACAAGAGAAAAAAATTAGGCGTCTACCTCACTAATGTGTCTAAGTTGTATCATCAAGCTAATGTCTCTCAGATATTATTATTCTTTCTGTGGTACAGAATTAGTCCTGACTTGCCTCAAACGTATTTGGGAAATCAAGGAGCATGTGGTAGAAGAGCATTACCTGTGGGGGTAGAGACAGAAAGTGGCACTACTAAAAAAGCCTTTCACTTTCTGAGAAAAAGTAAGGTGGAAAGAACGTCACTTTGAATCCCACCTTCAGCTTATAATTTTGGCATCGAAAACTACAGATCCAGAAAGGCAACATTGATAGTTATAATGCCAGATTCATAAACAGGGGTGGCTAAATATGTGGAGGTCATCACAAGACTGAAAAAAAGTCTTATTGTCAAATTATGCGTAAACATAACTATGCAGCGTTGGAAATGGTAAGATGTACACAAAATAGTATTGCACATAACAAAAAAATTTACGATGGCTGCAACTTCTGTTGCATTTAGCTAAGAGGTCAAAGTCAAGCACGTCAAATCAGCATTCAATAACTACCACAAAGAATCGAACAGAGTATTTGCTTTTATGCAAGTCTAGGAATATAGTTACGAGCATTTTTCCGCTTAACATGATCCCGACATTGTACAGTTTTGCTACGTCACTAAGTATAAACAAAAGCCACTAAGCTTTACTGGACTTCACATCACCAGGAATCCTGCCCACGAATAACATCTCCATACACGGCTAGTTCAAGCACACGTCCATTTCATTACTGAACAGGTTTTAAGAGATATATAAATATTATGATAGCAACCAGGAGGAGTTCAAGTCTTCTTCTCTATACCTCTTCTTCTGCACCTTGAAATAGATACCACAAAACAGGAAGTACCTAACCAGAGCGCGCTTTCCTCAATCAGATCTGGTATACTGAACTCCATAAGGTTAACCTTTGACCAATTGACTCCTACCTGCAGAAATGATAATGCTTC